CACGCCCAGCGCGATGGCAGTGGCGGCTACAACGGCCACGGCACCCTGCTCACCCAGCAGTCTGGAGGGTGAGTGTGGCCCTGGCCGAGTGAGGGCCCCTTGGTTGCTTGGCCGGTCCACGGGGAGGCTCCTCCAGCTCTTGGCTCGCGTGGTGTCCATGCAAGGACGGGATTCGGGTTGAGGTTGCCCCCAGCATCCTGCTGCGGACCCGTCTCACTGCCCACTTTGAGACCCGAGGGCGGGAAGCTCCCCTGCGCGGGGAAGGACTTGGGGGAGATGGGCTGGGGTCTCCTCTGCGATGCCTGTGGGACGCAGCGGGGGCCGCTCTGTCTGGGCCGCTCCTCAGCTGCTTGTGTTTCAGGTTTGACGACATCGACCTGCCCTCTGCGGTCAAGTACCTGATCGCCAGCGACCCCAACCTGCAGGTCCTGGGCGCTGCCTACCTGCAGCACAAATGCTACAGCGACGGCAACGCCAAGAAGCAGGTGGGCACCCGGGAGCCACAGGGGACCGTCTCTCCGGCCTCCCTTTGATCCTCACTGGGCTCTCTCAGTGTTGGGAAGCGCCTCCGGAAGTACGAAGGGGATGGGGGCCGCCCGGGGCCAAGGGGCAAGCTGGTTCCTTGGACGCATGCAGGATTAGGGGAGGCTGTGTGGGGCACGCTATCCGTGGGGCACACTGTCCGTGGGGCACACTATCCGTGTGACATGCTATTCAAGGGGCACGCTAACCATGGGGCACACTATCCATGTGACATGCTATCGTGGGGTACGCGCTCCATGGCTCGGCACCCCTCCCCCGGCCGCCCCTCTCGTCGCAGGCACGCAGCCTCCAGGCCATGCCCAAGCTGGTGAAGCTGTTCAACAGCCCCAACCAGGAGGTGCAGCGCCATGCTACGGGCGCCATGCGCAACCTCATCTACGACAACGCCGAGAACAAGCTGGCCCTGGTGGAGGAGAACGGCATCTATGAGCTCATGCGGACCCTGCGGGAGCCCGACGACGAGCTCCGCAAGAACGTCACAGGTCGGAGCGGGCCGCGGCGCAGGCATGGGGCAGGAGCGGGGGGACCTTGTGGTCCTCCTGCCTGGGGTGAGACCAGCAAGTCACTTCTAGGGGACAGCTAGAGGATGGGCACATGAGAACGTACAACACAGGTGACAAAGGCACCAATGTCTTTGTCTGCAGAGGGAGCACATGGCAGTGTCCACGGGGCGCAGTGTCCCTGGGGTTGGCTCTGAAGTGGGCTGTGTCCATCTTGCCTGCCCAGCAGGGCTATGAGGTTGTGGTGCTGGGCTGCTGCCACCAGCTCTTTGGCTCACGTCCGCCACGGCTGTGCCGGCCCAGGAAGGGTGCGAGTGCCGCCTCGGGATGGGCTCGCTCACCGCGTGTCCCTCGCGGCGCAGGGATCCTGTGGAACCTCTCCTCCAGTGACAACCTCAAGGATCGCCTGGCCCGGGACACACTGGAGCAGCTCACAGACCTGGTGCTGGTGCCGCTCTCTGGCCTGGGTGGCTCTGGTGTCATCCAGCAGAACCCCTCCGAGGCAGAGATCTTCTACAACTCCACGGGCTTCCTCAGGTACCTGCTCTGCTCCCTTCCTGCTTATCTTCTTGCTGTGGCCATAGCGCCAGGGTCAGCTGGTAAAGGTAGACTAGGTGACACCGGGACGTGTCAGGGCGGTGCTCAAGGACTTCGGAGCCCTTTTGAAGGGTCGCTGTTCCTCACAGCTCTTGTGTATCAGGGCTGAGCCTGGTCAAGTGCTCGGGTCAGCTAATAACCTGCTTTCCCCATGCAGAAACCTCAGCTCTGCCAGCCAGCAGACCCGGCAGAAGATGCGCGAGTGCCATGGGCTGGTGGACTCCATGATCCATTACGTCAACAGTTCCCTGGAAGTGGGCAAGTCGGAGGACAAGGTGAGCCCTGGGCCTGTCGTGCCGGAGGCTTTGGGGTTTCCTTGATGCCCTCCCCAGGGGTTTTGGTTGCCACCTTGCGCTCTGGCAGCGAGGCCTTGGCTGGTGGGCTGGAGACTGACCCGTGCCCTCGCAGAGCGTGGAGAACGCCGTGTGCGTGCTGCGGAACCTCTCCTACCGCCTGTACGACGAGATGCCCCCGTCCTCGCTGCAGCGCTTGGAGGGCCACAGGAGGAACAACAGCAGCACCATGACAGGGGAGCTGGTGGGCTGTTTCAGCCCCCAGAGCAAGAAAGCACGAGAGGTCAGCACTGGCTGCGTTGCTTTTCAGGCGGGAAAGCAACCGAGAAGCGGCCAGGGCCTGAGGTGACACCAGGGTGGAGGTGGACGCAGGCCCTGGCTGCTGGGTGGGACACGCGGCTGAGCTCAGCAGAGGGTGAATCAGCCACCTCTGACATGCGGGGCGGGTGGAGCCCCTTAGGGGGGGTGCCACCTCGGGGGCGGCGCGCCGGCGCCGTGCCGAGCCGGGTGAGCTGCAGGCGGGTGACGCGGGCTTAAGGGCGCTGCTGCCTCTGTGCGCAAGGACCTCCGTGACATCTCCGGCGTGAGAGCAGGGCTGGGGCCCTGCAGAGGGATGGAGCAAGAGGGAGGCAAGCGCTCCGGGTGGCTGCTCTAACGATGTCACCCCCCGTCACCCTGGGCCTTGCAGCACTACATGAGCGCGGACATCGTCACCTTCACCGAGGTCTCCAAGGACCCCAAGGGCATGGAGTGGCTCTGGAACCCGCAGATCGTC